GTCAGATATAATAACGAAAAATATATATTGTAAATATCTTTTATTAAAATGGATAGGCCTCACTCATTATATCAAAGAAACGATCAATACGTTTGTTTTACATAACTTTTTAACGAACAACGAGCGACGGCTAAAACCTTCTGAAGGTCACTCAGTAAGGTGACCTTGACAACATATGCCAAGGTCAAGGTCATTGGGGCTGGGTCCGTGTTTGTAAAGTTTTACCGAGAACTATACATAATAAAATCAGTACAGAATTACGCACAACATTATATAAGCTTTTAGATACAAGATTTTTGAGAGAGAGAGAGAGAGAGAGAGAGAGAGAGAGTTTTTACAAAAGTTTATATAATAATTAAGAGGATAGAATTTACCTGTACTATCTTGCTCGCGTAATAATAAGTGCGTACTCGGCATATCATTTGTATCGCTCGTACGAATCAAATTTGTTACATCCTCTTGATTTTCATTGTCAACATGTGACACAGGCACGGGTTGCTCCGCTATAAGAGACAAATGGAACAATTAAAGAAATGCAAAACTAAATAGAAAATAAAGTGGGTATGTCAAACAGAAAATAGAAGAAGTATAAATAATAAAATACAGAAATATATTCATATTATGGTAACGTGTCATATAAAATAATTAGTGTGGGTATATTTATTGAAAAGAATACAAATTTCGTCGATGCGTGTCGAAGCTCTCTTCGAGACTGAGCTCGGTCCGGGCGCTCTGGGCCTGGTTCGCAGGAGGGGCGAGAGCAAAGGCCAATCGCGCGCGGTCAGCAACACCGCACAGCCAATCCCAATTCGATCGGAAAACAGTCGCGAGGATGGAAAGTTCCCGATCACGAAACCTCTCGATGATCGGAAGAGTCGAGAATCTTCCATCCATATCACGCGAAATAAAATATGAAAATATGCCTACAGCTCGGCCCTCCTGACAGTTGGATCGTCTCGATCCAAAAAGAAAATAAAGAACACATTAATTCAGAATGGCTTACAACTAATCAAGTACAATAGCATTACAAAAGATTGCACAATATCTTCACAACTATTCGAAACAAAATATGTCTTACAAACTATGAATATAAGGTCGCATCTGATCCGGCGCCACAACACCGGTGTAAGGTCTTTGAGTGAGTTGGAATCCGTCAAGGTCAGTGATGACGTAGCGGTCATAATCTAAGACCTTTTTAATGACGTAAGGTCCCTTGAATTTGGGCAACAACTTTTTATTAACGCCCGGAGTAGTTTTAATATTTCGCACCTCCACATAATCACCGACCTTGTACTCACGAGCGGGTTTTCGTCGTAAATTGTAACGCTTAGCATTTTCTAACTGAGATTCTTTAATATTGGTATGCGCTTTTTTTCGCATTTGTTCGAGATCTCTATCGATAGCCGTGCGGAGCACATCTCGTACTATATCATTCGATTCACCCCTCTGCTCGATCCCGAACAACAAACGCGAAGGAGTTTCGTTAATTGTTCGACACACGGTATTATTTAAAGCGTACTCGACCTTGTCCAGAACATGGTCCCATTTCGAAGGACTTTCACTTAATTTTGCCAACATTGGCGTAATGATTCGATTGAATCTTTCCACTTGGCCATTGGCCCTAGGAGTGCTTACAGCAACGAGAGTATGTTCGATTTCTCTG